GCCCTGCTCACCCCCTCCAACATCTTGGTTCTCGACGAGGCCACGGCGGCCGTGGACGTGCAGACGGACGCGCTGCTCCAGCAGACGCTGCGCAGCCACCTGTTCGCCAACCGTACCATTATCACAGTCGCGCACCGTATCAACACCATCCTTGACAGCGACCGTGTCGTCGTGCTCGACAAGGGTGAGGTAGCCGAGTTCGACACGCCGAAGGAGCTGATCAAGAAGCGTGGCATCTTCCATGGACTTGTCAAGGAAGCTGGTCTGCTTAACGAGGTGTTGGAGTGAGACGCTTCATCACGGCAGTCATCAGATTAGGACTCTTTGTCGCTGACAATAACGCCATCTTCTTCGTCGACGTCGTTGCGAGCCGAAGGTAATTGGTCGTTCTTTCCACCTCCGAAAGCATAGCAGCGCCAAGTCGTGAGGTGGAGTAAGAGCGACAGTAGCACGTCGCAATGCGACGAATGAAGCAAGTCACTATACAAAAATTCTTGTGATGTTCGTGGTGTAGTGTTGGATAGATAAAACAAGTGTTGGTCAAAGAAAGCATGGAATGGTGTGATGGGTAGCAATTGGAACTGATGGTTACGAAAGCAAGGACGGATATGACAAGATGAATGGAAGGATGGGCCAAAAGCGAATTTGTATATATAGGTAAAAGTGTATTGCATGAAATCATGATGACATGTTAACAGCTAAATATGAAGCTGCCAATGTATGTTGCTTGAGTATCACTCGGTATGGTCTTTGATGGCGCACGTTATTCCAGCTTACAGCGCATCAAACCACTTAATTAAATAAGAACAGCACCGAATTGACCACGACATTTTGACTATACTGACTAGCTATCTACCATAGCAGAGTGATCTGTGGCGGTAGGCATTATTCCAGCTTCATATCGTACTAAACCCAACACGTCAAGCAACAAACACCACCGACCCCATTGACTCCAACATCAGAGATGATGATAACAACATTAATAATAGTGTTGTGGCAAAAAAACCCCACTCACACCAACACCCAACATCAATACCAGTAATCCGTTACTACCTACCTTACCTTACCTTACCTCACCCTTATCACATTCACATTTTCCAAAGCCTCGGAGTCCGGATCACGGCGGACAAGCCACATACTCTCCCTTCCCTTCCCTAAACCACATATGTACATACTATACTGTATGTACCTACGAACCCAGCAAAACACTGACTGAGCCCACCGACGCATCTGAATTTCAATTGAGAATCGCTTTCCACCATTAAAGAACATCTCCCCCCGAACCATGACCCCGAACTATCCGACGAACCGTAATTTACCATCCCCCCTGCACGGCTCAAGGCCTACAACCGAAAGTTGGGACAGGGTAGACAAGAGAGAGAGAGACCAAGGAATCCCGTGATCACAATTACCTGCAGGCTGTGTGCCGTTGTCTCTTCTTCATCACATTTCATTCAATCATTACGTTCCTCTTAGACGGGATTCTCCCAGATTGCACAGTTAGGGCACGGATAATAGGGTAGCCAATAAGTGTATTGGGGTAAGGCCAATTGTATATTTGTAGTTTTTGTAGGTAGATTAGTGGATCTGTAGTAGTCTAAATTACTGCAGCGAGTCTTGCTAGGTAGATTTGTACTACAGGAAGTTCGGCTTTCGTTAGGGGTTGGGACTTTGGGGTCGGTACATAGAGGTAGGGAGGGAGTGAGTGAGGGAGGGACAGGGCACTAATCGAGACCAGGTAAAAGAGGTAAGGTAGGTGTTCCTTACCTCTGGGCATAAGCTGAACGTATGTACAGTGCTGGATAATTGGATAGGCAGGCAGGCAGGCAGGCAGACAGGCAGAAGACATGGATATGGATTTGGGTCGTTGGCATTCGGGGGGTTCGGGGGGCAGGATGATGATTACCTTACCTTACCTTACCTTACCTTACCTTAGCTCTTAGGGAGGCTGATTGAGGCCTGTTATAGGGAGACCTAAGACTATTGGGACAGGGAATGGAGGAAGCGGTGGAAGCGGAGGGGGGCAGAAAGGGGAGGGATTGTGGGTGTTGGTTCATGCTTATCCTATACTTGGCTCGCTGCCTGGCTTGTTGGTTCCACGTAGTGAGAAACAAGCTGCTTTGAGAAATTGAGGTTGGTGAATACCTTGACTTGACATGGACAGGCAGTCCTGATAATCCCAGTTAGGTTGGCAGAGGTAGCAGCGGCAGGAATAGTGAATGGAGTCATGGGTGGTAAAGGTGCAATAGGCACCAAGCCGACAGGATCCTTAGCTTGGGTATCAGATTTTAGTACGGGCGTGTTTCAATGTTCTTCATGGATCGAAAGCATTGTTGGTTGTGTGAAGGTTTTGGGTTAATGGATCGACGATACCGTTGATAATGGAAAAGTGGATCATGAAGTTCAGATTGAATGTTCTGAAAATACCGAAAGCGGCTATCTACGGCTAACGATTCAAACGGCTGTTGGATGAACAAAAGAAAGTGATGTACGTGAGAAATTGGTACGGTTTTGATGGTATACCTTCATTTATTGGCCATGAAGGTGCTCCATTCATGGTTTCGAGGAGCGAGGTTCTAGAACTCGCCGCTCAAATCGGTCACTCGGGAATGCGACTATGCGAGTGCTAGTGGTGTCGTCGATGCGCAGACATAGAACAATGAATGACGATCATGAGCCGTCTTCTTCTGATTCGGGTTCGGTGTCCGCGGTTTTGAAGACCGACCTGACGAGTACTTGCCGTCGATGTAACTAATAGAATCCCACCGCGATTCCACATAGTAGAAGGGAGAAAGCAGCAAGTGTGTGTGTGTGTGTGTTAGCTGCTAAATCATGACACGACGATCAATCTCCCTTTTCTTCTTAGATCGCATATAGCGAGTGAGATTAAAGATGCTTGGCAACTGGGCTGTATTATTGGCTTAGTTCCAACACAATGTAAGGTAAGCACTAAATACATTTCTCGTTAGAGCTTTCTCTGCCGGAGACGTTGTGAAGGTGGAGGTCGGGATTTTTTTCCGCTCAACAATACCACTGAAGTGGGTAAGAAGGAAAGAATTGAGGCAAATGGGAACGCATGGAACTGTAAGAGACGATGAAGTACGAAGGAGAGTGGTGGGTTGTGGTAGCATTATATTTCGTCCGAACGATAGGTGAATCGAGGACGTTGGTTTGTCATTATGATCGTGATTGTGATATGATGGTGTGGTAAGACGAAGGGTGCATAATTGGAGCCGATGGGTTGGATGGTTCTTGACATGAGAATCTTGGGGAATCAGGAGGTGAATAAGCGTTTTGAAAAGAGCAGAATGCCTCTGCTGCTGCTTAGCTGTTGGGCAATCAATATGTTAGCGCTATCTTGTGCGACACAACTCGTGATGGCTTGAAGGATTGTCAGGGACAAGGCCTGAACGAAGTCTGTCTCTCGTTATCACCTTGGCTCCATACGCAAATCAGAACAGACGGTAAGCTCAGGTGCATAGTACTTATATTCTCCTTACTGCTTTCGACCAAACACGTAGATTCTGCGACCTCGACACCGGAAAACGACGGTGTCATGCAATAGATCGGGTCAAGCCAACATGTAGACCAGGCGGTAAGCACTCGTGTGGCATAGCACGGCACGCTCATGTACGGCTACGAATACGTATGGCCATGGAACATCTTGAGACTATCTTTCTACCACAATTACGGTGTTGAAAGTATAACAAGTTCTGTTATAGGGTATTGGGGTGAAGTGTGAGGTTTGAGGTGAACCTCATTCTCTGAAATAACACCATGTTGGACGCTAATGTTTCCATGGAACTCAAGAAGTAGGATGCATGCCGTGATTGATTGTCTTGTGCAACGTATTGAGGGTGATGTCGTAACAGAAGCTTCATCACCGAATATAAACGGGGTGATACATAAATAATGCGCTGCCAAAACCAGCAAAATCAAGGTAGCATGGATCAGACAGTTACCACCGGATGTTGTCGGTGACGATAAGAACAGGCGGTGTTGAGTGCGTGAAAGGTTATGGAGGTGATAGTAAGGGAGGAAACTTGGTCACAGATGCGCATCAAAGCAGAATACTGAGAGAGTTGCACCAAAGCCACCCGCTGTCAAAAAGTACAGTACCTTTTCCGGGTACCGAACCCGATATCAAATACCTTTGCACATTGGAATGCCGCCAATGGAGGTGATGAAAGAAAGAGTTCCAAGAGCGTGGCAGATGTGATAATGTCACAATCCATGCAGAAAACTCTATTGTTTGGGGGTTTCCAGCTTCTTCCATGATTCGTATTTCGAGTCACATAAACAGGAAGCAAAAGGAGGTGCGGGACATGATATTGATGGTCTATCGAAGCCATCAATCCTACCACGACCGGAAGGAATCCCACCACAACAGAGTGGGCTGGAAGTTCAGATTGGCTAGATGTCCAAGTTATCATTTCGTTACCAATAAGAGAGCGCATGACAAGACATTATTGCCATAATAACTGCCCACCAAGACACAGCGCTTACTGTGCGCGGTGAGAGGAGGGTCACGGTAGACCAAACTCGTCCCGCCGCATCGCCGACATGGCACGGGAGAGAAAAAGCAATGAGATCAGGTTAAAGCGAGAGAAGGGGAAAGGATGGACTGGCTGTTGACCGTTTATGGGACATCCTTCATGATATGTGAAGAGTCCGAGCAGGGAAAGAGCCATCCAAGGTCCAGGCATATGCCGTCAACCTGGAGAGAAAACTGTTAGCGAAATGGTATCCATTTCCATGCTGACCATATGTGAATCCGGGGTTGAAACAGGGATGAAGACCCGACTTGTAGCGCAATCGCCCTATAGGTGAGGAGTCCTAGGTTACACACACCCCTGGCAGACCCAGACTTTCAAACATCCTTGCCGTCAAGCCGATTCGAAACCGGTGCACCAGAATTGGTGACAGGCTCGCAGGGCTCACTACATATCAGCTGCTTATCACTCAAGCATTAGGAAGGAAAGTCATGGTCCACCCACGGACTATTGATGCATACCTTGAAAACCGGGCCCAATAGGCGACGCAAAGATGTTCCTATGACGAAGCCTCCTGCTAGTCCATTGGCCCTTGGCCGACTCTTTCGAATTTAGAAAGAGGGTCAGCTATTTCTAAGCTCGACTCTGGCTTTCTAGGTCTCACCAGGAGAAGACGTGACCGTAAATGGAGCGAGAGCGGAACCATTCCGTAAGTGGTATTGGCCATGCAAATAAATATATATATCCATCGATTAGTAAGAGGCGGGAATGATGACCCTTTGCCAAAGAACAACAGCAGACATGGAAGCAATAGTCAGCATTCAATCACCAACTCACACTGCTTCTTTGGTGGAAAGGAGGCATTCGCCAGCCACTGTGTTTTAGATAAAGAGTGGCTCAGAGAAACGTCATCAATTGGACCCCATTTTGGCGTATCCGACCTGGATGATGGTGGTCTCGATGCAAAAAGAGCCCAGAGAGGCATGACCCACTTTTGCCGATGGGTGTTTTGGTTGATGGATGTAGGAGTTCCCGTGTAACCCGATTCGACTTGTTGTCTGACGGCTGAAACCTTCTCTGTAAGTCGCGTTGCGAGAGCAATGTCGCAACGTAACGAAGCCTGCGATGTCCAATAGTGTGATCTGGAGGAGGTCGGGATGATGGCTTGAGAGTCGGGGAAGTCGACATTTCACAGATCATGCCTACCTGAAACATCATGAAGTTCAACGTCAAGTTGGACCAGATTCGCTGGATAAAAGCTTGACATGCCCAATAAACAGAGGACATCAGGACGCCTCTTTCGAAGAATTGTCTGGAAGAACTTGGCTTTGAGATTGCCCTGTGTGATTGTGATGGTGATGAAGCAGAGGCAACCACAACATCGTCCTCCGAATGAGAAAGAGGTTGCCGTGTGGTGAGAGGTTGAACTCTTGGGGTGCCCACAAACGGCCTGGACGTCTTGCGTAGAACTGCACTTGCAATCCATCCGAGTCGTCAGACTAATCCGGTTCGCGAAGCCTCGCAGCAGACTAGTAGTTCTGATCCGTCCCGGTGGGACGAGTGGTCGTCTCATTGGCCAGTAGCTTACCACTGGCAGTGCGAGACAGGGGGAGGACCGTCATTCCGAGGGTATGGTTGTCACTTTCAGAAACCTCCTTCTCAACATCGTGTTCCGCCAGCTCCACGCTCGTCCACCGTGCAGGATCTCGATTCATTGACATGACAGCCAGGGCCATGGAGACTTGGCAGAGTCCCACAGGGTACCTGTCCGAACGCTCCCGCCTCGCATGCCGGTGACGGTTACACAGCGTGTTCTAGACAACGATTGAAAGGCAACGGCACCCGCGCACGGATTTCGATGTCGAGGTGGTTGATGGATGATGTTATCGTCTTGTGATGAGGCAGATTTCTCTGGTTAGCCTGGATGGTTGGTGTTTTTCCACAAGTCAACATACCGGCGTATGAGAAAAGTGTAGATAGGGTATGGATATGTCCGAAAAGACAAGGGGAGAGCGTTACTGAAAGCAGAAGAGAGAGTAACCAGCACACTCGGGCTTCAGGTAGGAAGAACATCCTGAGGATGCTGTGCCTCCGGTATGCGGCACTGCCGTGGGTGCGAGATATGGCCAAGGCGTACCTGAAGGATGCATGTTGCACCTCGATTGCACCCAGGAAGGAGCCTTTCTGGGACACAGGATCCACGGTACCTTACGTGAACATTGCCCCATTTCATAAGTGGGATGATGGATGATTACCAGGTACTGTAGTGTACTAGATGCCGTGGTAGCCGTCCGGGTACCTGACTTTACGCCGCAGACCCCCTCGGCCGGGAGCCCCAGAGGGCTACCTCTATGTAGGAGGAGGGGACTGGACGAAAGTATGTAATCTGGCTTCACCTTGAACCATAATGGAGTGGGTGGCTCATCCTGTCTCGCTTCGGTTGCCCCCTGTCTCGTCTGCTAGGCGGCGTCATCCAATGTTGGTGCTGGGCGGGCGGGCTGGCTGGCTGACATGTGCAAAGTGTCATGTCAATCGATAGAAATGTGCATTTGTTGCTCGGGGTGGATGGGCTGGATGAAGTATTGAAGGCGAAGACGGCGACTTCCATTTTTGTTGACGATCATGATGTCAAGGTGAAGGATGAGGGCGGGGCGGGGCAAGGGAACTCGGGGAATTGAATTGCGAGTGCTGATCAGTGATCATCAGCAAGCACATTGTCGACCCCGTTCCTTCCCACAAAAGTTTATTTCGATGTATACCAACCAGCCAGTGAAACGCATGGATGAAGGCATTACCTGTTGGATTAGCCTCACGCCTGTGTTTTCAAGTCCTCCTCTGGCATCACGAAAATCGCAGCCGCAGATGGTTAGAGACTGTTAGCTGGCTAGAATGTTCGCGGATATCTGATACACCGTACCTCCCCGTATCCAGAAGCACGTCATGAGTTCCCTCTTGAACCGAGTGAGAACGACAAACGGCGACGGTGCGAGTGGCAAGACCTTACTTGATCCGCCCTCAGAAGGCAATAATTGCCGATGGCCAGTACTGACCTTCTGTACTAAGTATTGTTGCTTGTCGAAATCCTCAGGTACAAAGTGAAAGGTGGCCAAGGGACATTTTCATGCCAAAGAATTGCAAGTTGATGCTTGGTGAACTGGCGAGCGTACGGAATCAACCCGACCCAACGATATCCCGCCAGTATGCTCAAGGGCTTTCCATTCGACCGCGGAGAATAACAGAAATATCTGTAACCGCAAAGTGACACAGCTGTCAAGGGACGTGGGGCAACATGTGCCATCTATTCCTCCTCGTTTCGAGCATAGTAAATCCATGTTCGGCATTGCGGCATTGGCAACCTTCTTCATGACGAATCTCAGGTCGACCGTTCAAGTTGTGAACGATGGAATCTGGGACCCCTTTGATGGTGTACGACAGCGGCTTCCTTCTGGACGTCTTGCATAGGCGTGACATGAGCCCCCAATTGGCCTGGCTTTGGCCCATCATGGCTTTGGGTGAAGATTTACCTACCATTGCAGCTGCTGGTTCTGTCGTATAAGCCGTGTATATACTGCAATGCAGTGCCAGCAACAAAGGATATCTGCTCACCTGCGCAAAACATGGAGCCAAGGACCTGTTCAAGTGGTCTGATTTGAGAGACCTGTGTAATAAACACCCGGACATGAGCCGATTGATTCAGAGCAGCGGGGGACAGCATTCAAGTCCATCAACAGCGTATCTTGGGTCTTGTCCAAAAGTCCTTTACTGGATCGATGGCGATCGGGTCGCTCACCCGGTGAGATAACTGAAGGTATGCTTCACTGGCTGATGACCTGCCGTCCACTAACAGGCAGCCATGGGTGGTTTTACAAGTAGATGGAAGCATCCAGTCCCCGGGGCCCTTCTTTTATTTCAAGCGCCTTGATTTGGTCCGACACTCGTCCGGGAAACTGGGAAAGTGCTTCCGCACCAGCTTTTGCTAGGCCGCTTGAACAAGACTCGAGTCTAGATGGACCTGAAGGCGTCCGCTTTGAGAAATTGAGCCCGATTTTCGACGAGCTGCCGGCTCATTGGGAGCGCCTGCCTTAGAGCGACGATAATCGAGGTGGGATATCATGCCGAGAAGACGCAATCTCTATCTCTTTTCTGGTCCTAAACAGGGGTTGATTGCATGGGCAGGACGTCGGGATGTGGGTAAATGGGCGGGGGTATGGACGGTATCAGTTGATGGAACTGTGGCAGCCGGGATACCCTTCAGGTCCAGCGTTCTTACGACTCTCTTGCAACAAGACTATCTAGCCGGCGGGATTCTCAAATTGATGCGTGCAATGGGCTGAAGATGGAGAATTCTGCCGTTGTCCCCGCCGAAAAGGGGACGTTAACGGGGATAATGTTAGCTTCCGTCCCAGTGTCCGGGAGATCTCCCCGGCGGACCTTGCAAGGAAAGATCAGTCAGTCTCATGTTTTGCTCGAAGATGGTCACATAATACAGCTTGGACTTGGCGATAGAGCGGAGGGCCATCTACTGCAATCTAGAAGTGGCTGATCGTCCTGCCATGAAGCTAGAGAACCGAGGCGTGCTAGCTTGGCTAAGTGGATGGGGCAGCACACCCACCACCCGTCGGTGATTGGAAATCCCGGACGCTGGTGGTGGTGGTGATGATGGAAGATGTCCAATTGGATATCGGATCTGGGCCAAGACCATAGGCCGTGGTGTATATATAAAGGTCTCCATAAAAAGCACAGCTACGGGCTCATCGAAGCTTGCCATTTCTATAAGCACTACGACGTCGAGTGTCTCTGTGTGTCTGTGATGATGATGTGCTAGATCATCTTGTTGGTGGACGAAGGTGGGCTGTTTTTGATTGAAGCAACTGGCGAGTTATTCCCGCCTGACATTCCAGCGGGCAGTGAGGTGTAGTGAGACGGGAGCTGAGGGGTTGGAGGGACCTACAGTAGCTACGGAATTCCCGTCCATGAGGAGCATGAGATCTGGGTGGAGTTTGCGCTACGCAGTACATAATGAATGGTATCCACCCAAGCACAGGGTCCAGTACGTACACCACTATCTTGGGTTCTCCAGTCTCAGACAGCATTCTTCATGATCCAGGGCTTGGTTGTGTCAATCCCCACTTTGATCGATTTTGTCTGATGATGTGCCTGGATTAGACGGACGGTTGTCGGCAACCTATGCTCGCTCCCAATGGCAAGCCGGAGATGCAACGATTGCGAGTGATGACGGTGGTGTTTGCGCACCAAAAGCAACAAGTCGGGGACCCGCTGTTAAGGCAGGCGGGCCTGAATGAGGAGGTAGTGGGACATGTCTCCACTCACGACTACAACCCTCTTTCTCCTCTTCTGGAAACTGAACAAGGGGTCCAAGCATGGGCTTTTGGATTGGGAAAGGAAGTCACGACCTATGAATTGGATTTGCAAAGATCGGGCAGCTGCAAAGCGCTCTTTCCATCCTTCATCGCGGAGGAAGTCGCCCGAAAGTTTCGCCTCGGGCGTCTCCTGATTTTGAGTCTAGTCCTTCACTGCCTTCCTACACTAATCCTCTCGCTTTAATCTCCGTCCACAACGGCAAGACACACTCATCCCAGCTTCCACTTGACACGACGGACGGAGCATTCGGTTTGACGACGGCAGCCGCGCCAGAGACATTCCCCCTCTCTTCCTCTCTTGCCGTGTCTTGGTTCTGTTTTCCTTGCTTGTCTCATGCTGTCTCAGCTGTTTCCCCATCTTGCTTCGGCACTTGAAATCTACAGCGAGTTAAGATAACGGGCAGCAGGAAGTGTTCAACATCACCTTGTGGGCCCGCCACCAAGTCGAGAATGGATGTCCGGCAGGAACACTTCAATTCGTTGCTACACTCAGCTAATTTTCATTGTGTGCGTCTGGCCGTACCAGGACGGTTGCGAGCAGTCTGAGTTGGGCCTCATCAATACCAGAACCTATTTCCCTTAGTCTACCTACACGGTCATACCAGCTCCGGTACCATGACGCCGTGACGAGAGCCAGTAGGTACTCCATCACCAAGCAACCCCGCAGTACCCACCAAACCCTGGACCAGTCAAGCAACCATATCGGCGGGCGTCCGGTAGTCAACCCTGTCGCAACAGAGATCCCCCGAGGCGAGGACACTTGCAACAGGCGAGAGATGGTCGACGGACAAGATGCCCAGCCACTAGCCATTGGACCTTGGACGCTTGCCTCCTGCGACCTGCGTCGGCTACCGTGTCTGGAAAAAGACGAGCCAAGATCCATGGAGAGTCTTCCCTTGTGCAGTGGTGCTGATGCTTGCTGCCACGGTCCCGTATCAATACAACCCTCCCATCTCACACCCCCTTGGCGTATGGACACTACACGTACACCACTGCGGTCCTACCAGCCAGCCCACAGCATGAGCCTATCCAAACGCGACCTAACCACAGGCGCGGTGGAACAAGGGGAGGGGAAGGGTGCCGTGGTGGGTGTTGGCTTTTTGTGGCACTCTTCCATACTGCGCGCCAAATACACTACACTACCTAGAGACTGGCGGGGCTGGAGAACACCATGCCCAATGCTTGCTGCTTGTCTGGGATAACTCTGAATGCTGCATGCGCCCAGTACCGAGTACGGACGATGTACTGCATATAGTACCTTCGGAGCAAGTTAGACTACCCTCATTCCCCCATAATCTTGTAATCTACTGACGTAGCCATCAGGTAGAAAAACATACTTCACTTCTCGAGATCAC